GGGGGGGGGAGAAAACCCCTTCCCCTCATGCGGGGCACAGGGAGGGGAGCCTGGGCACGGCTCGGGAACCTCGTCAGCAGGGACTCACCTGACATTAATTAGATACTGGGCCAGGCTGATGCTCGCTGCAGATCCAGTTATGGTCACCTGCCGGTCAGTAGATCCTTCCACGGGGTTGGCAATTTTGATCTGCGCCCCGGACATCTGGCGGATCTCATTGATCTTGGCGCCCTGACGCCCGATGATGCAGCCAATCAGCTAAAGGGGAGGCAGCAGTAGCAGCAGCGTTAATTGACTGATTTAATTAAGCCTCGTCCTTCCTCACCCCGACTCTCCTAGGGTTGGGTACCGGGGAAAACTCTTTCGTGGAATTTACGCAGCCCCTGCTCCAGCTTGCTCGGGGCAGTGGGGAGTCACTGTCCCTGGAGCTGTCCCAAATCACGTGGATGTGGCCCTTGGGGACACGGTTCAGTGGTGGCCTTGACGGTGCGGGGGGAACACGTGGACTTGGTGGCCCGAGAGGCATTTTCCAACCTTAACAATCCCATGATTGGGTGGTTCCTTGGCGGGGAAGGGGGAAGGGGTTGAGGAGTTGGAAGAGGGAGTTCAAGGGGCTGAAAAAGGCGTTTTCTGCCTTCAAAGTGACTGGAAGTGGGATAAGGGATGTGGTGACAGCCAGAGTGGTCCAAGGTGGCACTCTGGGGTGCAGCTTTAAAGCTGAGAACAGGCACCCCACACCCCTTTTGTTAAGGGGGGCAGATCCTGGGGACCCCTGGGGCCAAGGGACAGCTGTCTGCCCACGATACCTCCACCCCCCCCCATGCCCCTGGGATACTCACATCGTTTGGAATGGTGAGTTCATGGGAGGTGGTTTGAGCAGAGGCATCCAAACCTGCTCAGAGACAGAGAGAGGGGGCAGGTGAGGGGGGTGACAGACTGGGGGTGCAGCACCCCAAGTGCTGCCAGCTTCAGGCTGCCTGGGAGGGCTCCGAGCAGGCTGGGGAGGGCAGAGCAGGCTGGGAGGTCACTCCAACCCCCCTCCCTTGCTTTCCCCCCCTGCTCCTCACTCACACCCCGATTTCTCCCCTCCTTGTCCCCTCCCTGTGTGTCACCGCAGGATCCTCCATCCAGGAGCAGGGCGCTGGCACTGGGGGGCTCCAGCCAGGCACTCAGCTCTGCTCCCACTCCAGGACCAACCTCCAAGGGCCACATTACCCCTCCTTCCTCCTCCTCGCTGCAGCCTGGCAGGGCAGTGCTACGCCGGCCGGTGCTGCGAGGCCGCTCATGCCTTGCATGGGGCCAAGTGTTTGTGCCAGGTACTTTTTTTTCCATGTTTCCACACTTTTTCCCCCTTCCCAGTTCACTCCCTGCTAGAGGGAGAGGTGGGAGCCTCAAGACCTCACCCTGAGGTTCTGGGTGGGGGCGGGCAGCGCTCTGGGGACACAGCAGGTGACACGGTGCTGTTCCCCCCACACCTCCAGCTCCTGACAGCTCCAGCACCTCCTTGGCTGGGGGTTGCTCCTCTCAGTGTGACTTTTTGGGGGGAGGGGGATAGAGCTCAGGGCCCACATCTCGCTGGGACAGCTGAGCTTCTGCCCAATCCTGCTGCTCTCCACTATCCAGCTGAGCTCCAGGGCACGGACAGCTGAGTCAGGCTGCAACTCCAGCCCTTCTAGGGCTCCCGTCAACCCCCTTTTCCCCCCCATTCCGGGCACAAAGGCGGGCAGCATCTATCAGGGAGAACGAGACCCCGGGCAGCATCAATGCACAACAGAGTAACTACAGATCGTGTGTTTGGATCATTACCCCAATAGCCTTTCACCTCTGGAGAGCTGGAGTCAATGCCTGTTAAGATACAAGTCACAATGAGTTTGGCTGTCTTGAAGTTTAGAGCCCCAAATGGGTATTTTTTTTTTTTTTTTTTTAAAGCCATCTTAGCAAATCTAAAGCAAATTTGGTACAACTCAGCAGTTGCCTGCTCAGGCCTGGAGTAGCCGGAGGGGAGAGAGCGGGTGCTGCAGGCCGGGGGTCTCCCAGTGCGTTGGCAAAGTATGGGGGGGGACGAGGGAGGGAAGCAGCACGGATGGAGGCCCTGCCTGTGCCGGGCTCAGCTCGTCCCTACCCCTGCAGCCCCCAGAGACATCACAACAATCATTACCTGGCCGGGCCCAGCTCGGGGGAACGTTTGGGTTTAGGTTTTGGAGCGCGAGCGCGGCCCCACAGAGGAGCCGGGGGCAGCCCGGGCTGGGCGCCGGCCCGCGCTAGCGCACACGGAGAGAAGGAGTTTCCATACCACTGAATCCAGCGTTGCCAGGAGACATTGGAAAGTGTGACTGTTGCATTGCCAACTGGTGCAGCTTGGTCAGCTAGAGGAGGGAGAAGAGAGAGAAAAGAGAAAAGAGGCTGGCGTTAGCCATTTCCCGAGGCCAGGGGGAGGCCAGGACTCACCCCGCACGCGCGCGCGCCCGCGCGGACACCGGCCCCGCCGCCCCGGCCCCTCCGCGCGCGGCCCGAGTCCTCTCCACACGGAGGCCACGGTGGGCTGGGGGGCTGCTGCGCCCACCCCTCGGTGCAGTGAGGTCTGGAGGAGCTCAGGAAGAGAAGCAGAGAGGAGCGGGAGGGAGCAGGTGCTCGCGGCACTGCGGGGGAGCGGCAGGGAACGGGGACAGAGCGCGGCTCGGCTCCGCCAACAGAGCAGCTCTTCCAGCCCAGCTTCCCCTTCTAGCCCCTCTCCCCCCTGGCCTGGTGCGTCAGATTCCCCCCTCCCTCGCTGCTCTAAAGGTGCCAGGAGCAGAGACCAGCCCCTACGGGATGAGGATGGGTGCCAGAGGATGGAGGTGTCCGACAGCATCGGGAGAGGCGGCCGCTGCCGGGATGGTCCCTCCTCTCCCGAACGGACCCGCCAGGCTGGCAGCAGCCTGGGATGGGCCGGATCCAACCCCCTCCCCGACTGCCACCTGCGCCCACTCGTTGGGCCAGCTGTCCCCTGCCCCGGGAGAGCCACCGTGACAGAGCCACCGTGTGCTGGGCGGGGAGGGGGGGGAGTGGGGGTGTTCTCGTGCCGAATTCAGGGAGGAGGAGCAAGGGGGTGGGGGCAAGGGAAAAGCCGGAGCTGGTGTGAAATGCCAAGCCAGGGAGAGGTGGGTTTGGAAAAAAAATATAACAGGAGCAGGGAAGTGCCAGAGAGGAGGTGGGGGGGAGGATCCAGGGAGAGCTCTGAGGCCGGGTGAAGCTGGCTGCAGGAAGGCCAACTGAGGGGGGCAAGTTTTTTTTTTTTGGGGGGGGGGAAGGGGGCTCGGATCAGATCGAGTATTCAGCCCAAGCTGAGCAGCTCGAGTGGAGAAAGCACGGAGAAAATTTTGGAAGGGGGGGAGGAAAAGGGTGGATTTCAAGACAAGAAGTTGTAAATAAAAACTTACATCTGGCTGTGGAATGGCATACTGTCCTTGAATGGTATAGGCCTACAAAAGGAGGAAAACAGTCCTAT